GTAGTCGTAGTAGTAGTGGTAGTAATAGTAGTGGAAGAAGTAGTAGTAGTAGTAGTAGTAGTAGTAGTAGTAGTAGTAGTAGTAGTCTTCGCCGTCGTGGTAGTAGTAGTAGTAGTAGTAGTAGTAGTAGTAGTCGTAGTAGTAGTAGTAGTAGTAGCAGTAGTAGTAGTAGTAGTAGTAGTAGTCGGAATCGTCGTCGTTACAGTAATAGTAATAGACAGAATCGTCGAAGTAACTTTTCCGTAGTAGCAGTCGTATTTTTTTCATGGCTTGGTGGTAACAGTAGCAGTAGCAGTAGCAGCAGCAGTAATTTTAATATTTGTCGTAAGTTATGGTTCTAATCCCATGTTTGGTCGCGTAGGAGCAGTGTAGGTGTGTGCCATCAGCTGAGGGGCCTGCGGGGTCTGCAAACACATTATGTTAAAATGTTTCTAAGTGCCCGCTGCCAGTAGGCTTCCGACACGCTTTTGCTGAGAGGCTTTCGAAAAGGTTTCCGGGAAGCGTATGAGAGGCTATTGGGAGGCTTCTGAGGGGATTTGCAGACACGTTCAACCGCGTGTGTCACAAGCGCATGGCGCTACTCAGACACGGTGTGCCGTTCGCAAGCTGTTGCAGTTCTCGTGCAGTCATTGTGGCGCCCGCAAGCCACTCGGTGCTCGCAGGCATGTTGTGGCGCTTGGGCTGTCGTGGTGTGTGTGTGTGTGTGTGTGTGTGCAGGCTTTTGGTTGTCATTGCAAGCATGTTTTGGTGTTCGCAAGTTCGTGTGGTATTGGTGGGGTCTGGCTCCGCTCGCCATCTTGCTGCGCGCCATAGCTCGGTGGTGTTCGCAGCCGTATTCCGCCTGGTGGTCACACTCACAACGTGGTGCTCTCAGGCACCTTGTGATGCTTGCAGGTTGCGACGAGGCTGATACGCAAATTGTTCAGAGGAGGAAAAGGTACCCATACCGCTACCGCTCCCTCGTTTTTCTCTTTTCGGATCTCCTGGGAGGCTCTCGTCGCTACCGCTGGAGTCGCACCGACATTCTGGTCAGCACGCACCTCAGGAGAGGTCAGGGGAGTAGTTGTATCAGCACCATTTAGTTTCCCCAGTTGTGGTATTCGCTTGTGCTCGCAGAAATTCAGCTGGGTATGCACACCGAAGCTGCTTTGTCCGTTGTTCCCGACTGCTAGGGATGTTGTCCGTGGAGCCACGACTGCTACCACTTTGTCGGCCAATGCCAAGACTATTCATTCCAGTGCTACGGTCACCGCTGCCACTCTGATGGCCCCCGCCCTTTTTTGCGCAACCCGAACTTACCCTTCTTACTTGAACGTGCTGTGCGCTGCTCTCTCTCTCTCTCTCTCTCTATATATATATTGGCCTCCAGCCCATCCCACCGACATGCCCTGGGTCGGAGACAGGGGGCCGTTTGGATTCTCGGAAAAAATGCGAAAGAGACATGGCGGCAGAGGAGAAAGGAGGTCGCTTCCCCGCCCGGCCGGGTCGCAACCGAGGCGTGCCTGCCGCCTGGGGCGCAATGTTGCAGGGACGCGAACTTCCTGCCGTTCCCCGCCACGGGCAGGGTGAGGAAGGGGAAGAGCGGAATGATGATGATGAGGAGGAAGAGGAGGAGGACCACTACAATCAAGACGCATCAGCAATGTTGCAATCAATCCCTCCAAGTTCCTTCTTCATAGGTCCCTGGCCCCTACAATAATTTATTTTCACAGCGGGAAGTGCCCCATTGGAAGGCAACCGTTTTGGAATCCTCAACCGTGCCGAAAGAGCGTTCCTGGGACTGCAACGCCGCGAATCAACGTGAATGTTGCGCCCTGACAATCCCTCAATCGTGCCAGACCACCATCTCTGGCACTTCAGCACTGCGAGGCAACGATGCTGGTCGGTCCTGATTTTTCAATCGTGCCAGAACACAGATCCTGGGACTTTCGCCATCCAGATATTTGAAATTGTGGCAAACTGTTCAAATGAATGTGCGCGGCGCTAGGGCGAGATCAAGTTTTGGAAAAGGAACTGCTCGTCATCATTACAGTTGATGCAAACGTTCAAGACGAATGTGCGCGGCGCTAAGGCGGGAATCACATGTTTAATTGGAACCGCCCTCCATCATTGAAACTGCTGCAACAGTTCAAGACGAATGTGCGCGGCGCTAAGCGAGAGTAACGTTTTGTCAACGACCCGCCCTCCATCCGTAAAAGTCTGGCAAACTTTTGAAACGAATGTACGCGGCGCATGGCGAGAGCCACATTTTGTCAACGACCTGCCTTCCATCCGTGAAACTGTTGTAAACGATTAAGACGAATGTGCGCGGCGCATGGCGAGCGTTACATTTTGACAACGACCCGCCCTCCATCTGTGAAAATGACGAGGAAGTCAGGCGAAAAAAACAGCCTGTCCTGCCGACGCGTCTGGGGGTGCTACAGGGAGGATTCATTTATAAGGAACATAGATGGAGGAGGAGGAATACGAAGAGGAGCACGAGGAGAAGGAAGGTGAGGAAGATAAGGAGGAGGAGGGTGAGGAGGGGAGTACGAAGGGGAAGAGGGCGAGACGGGTGCACCCCAGCAGGATCACCAATGCACGAGGGCTTTCGGGAGGTGTCCGATTAGGAGTGCCTCCACATGTTGGGATGAGATAGGGTCTTCGCCGTCAGGATCTCCCATATCCTCACCGCCTGATCCTGAAGTGGATCAACGCAGTCATCCTAGGAGGTTTTTGCTGGCTTCGATCTGCCTTCCCACGGAGGGCCCTTTCGGTCAGGAAGTTGGTCAACTATCCAGCTGCCTGAGGCAAACCCGCCACCATGCTGGGGTTGTAGGTCAGAGGCCTCTTGGGTGCCTGTGGGGATGTCCTGGGAGGCCTCTCGGAAGCCTCTCGGAGGCGGTTTGGGGGTGTCTTGGGGCGTCTCGGGCTATTTGAGGCTCTCCCGAGGATCCTCATGGATCGTCCCGAGCCGTCGTGGGGCCTCTTTGTGAGGGCAGCGGTGCGCCGAAATCCTTTGTTGCAGCTGCGTTCGAGGGCAGCTGTTTGGGGCGGGTTGTGCATCCTCACGCCTCTCACGCCCAGCAGCCGAGCTCTTGGGCCCAAACGGGCATCCGAAGATTACCACAGTGCTGCGCGCGCGGCGTGGGCCCCGCCCGCCGCTGCCCGCGTGCCCAGCCCGCGCGCCGCGAGCGCCGCAGGTTCCTCCCGCTCGGCGTGGACTTCGTGGCCCCCAGCCGCCCCCGCCTGACGTGGACGACGACGACGACGACGACGACGACGACGACGACGACGACGACGACGACGACGACGACGACGACGACGACGACGACGACGACGACGACGACGACGACGACGACGACGACGACGACGACGACGACGACGGCTTCCCCGCTCGGTCCCGTGGCGCGCCTGCCCTCGGGGGGGAGGGGGGGGGCGCCTCGGGCCCCCCTCCTTGGGCCCCGCGCCCTCTCGCCGCTGCACGCCCGCCCGCCCTCCCCTGGCTCGGCGTGCGGCTCCGGGGCCGGCCCTGGGGGCGGGTCTGGCGGCCGTGGGGCCGATCGGGTCGATGATCCTCGGCACGCGCGCCAGCGCCAACGCGTGCCCGTCCACCGAAAGCCCTTCCACTACGGCGCAGGCAGCGTGACTCGTTGAGGGCCAGCACCGGCTGCGCGGGTGACGCTGACCGGGGCACGCACACGCGTCCCGGGGATCGCCGATTCGGGGCGCGCGGAGGCAGGCGGAGGGGATCGCCGATCCGGGGCGCGTTCGGAGGCAGGCGGAGGCAGGTGGGCAGGACGGGCGGAGGGGGCCATAGGGGGCGGGAGCGGGAGGGACGGAGCCGCAGGCGCCCCCCCCGGCACCGCCACCCTGGGCAGGGGCCGTTGGGGGCCCCGTCGCGGTGCTTTCGGCCCGGAGCGCTCGCGCGCCCTGCCAGGGCCCTGGGGTGGCCCCGCCCAGGCGCGCCGGCGGCGTGCGGGTGCCTTCGTCTGGCGTTGGGGGGGGGCCGAGGCCCACCGGGCATGGGCTGCGCACGCCACGGCCGGCCGCTTCCGTCGCTGGCGCCCCCGCCGCCTTTAGCCTTGCTCCCTGGCCCACGCCGTTCTCGGCGGCGACCCCGACGCCGTTCCCGATGCCGTCGGCGACGCTCAGCCTGGCGCCGAGCTCAGCGCCCATTTCTTTTCTTCGCCCGACGCCCCGTCCCTCACCCATCCCGACTACCTTCCGGACGTTTGGACCGACAACGACGACGACCACGACGACGACGACGACGACGGCAGCGGCGACGACGACGACGACGGCGGCGGCGGCGGCGGCGGCGACGACGACGACGACGACGACGACGACGACGACGCCGCCGCCCCCGACGACAGTGCCGACGCCGTTCCCTCCGTGGGCTGGCGCCCACGGTCTCTCATCCCACAGGCTCCCGACGACGCTCGCGACGCCGCCCCCGACGACGCCCCCGACGCCGCTCCCTCCCCGAGCCGACGCTCTCAATCTTACGGCTCTCCCGACGTCGCGGCCCCGCAGCGTCACCCCCGTCCACCGAGCCCGAGGAAGGCCACGGCGCCGCACCGCATTCGGGTCCCTGCTCCCACTCGGGCGCTGCTTCCTCCGGCACCGCTTCCGACGGCGCCCCCGATGCCATTCCCCCCCGTGTCCGCCGCCCCACTGCGACGCCGCCTCGAGCTCATCTCCAGTCTGGGGATGGGCTCACCAAGTTGCCCCCTTGCGAGGGCGACGTGCACGTTCGAGAGGACGGCTGGCCTTTTCGGCGGCCGACGCACGGGCGGCGCACGGGCGACGAATGCGCGACGCACCTCCTGTCGCGAAGGGTTGGGGGGGTCAGCACGCCGGTCGCTTTACTGGGCCTTAACATCCCCAGACGACGCTCTCGCCGTCCACCCTGACCCCGCTCGGCTCCACGACTCGCCTCCCCGACGCACGCGGCGAGCCGCCTCCACGGGCCCGAGGCGCCAGAGGCCTGGGAAGTGCCTGGGACGCCACGCCGTCAGCTGCGGTTGGAGGAGGGGCTGCACGGCCCGCGGGCGCTACGAGGGCCCTGACGCTTAGCCCAGAGGGGTCCCCATCCCGGAGTCCGTGGGTGCTGTTACGGGCGCCGCTGGCAGGGCCGCGGGTCTGAATGGGAGCCCGACGCCTTCGGCTACCTGGCAGCAGCCCCTCGAGCGTCAAGAACAGGTGGCACGCTTTGCAGCACTCGCGGCCGGGGCCCGCGGTAGGGACCCGCGCTTGACCTCCTCGGGCGCCCTCTCCTCTCCTGTGCTTTGGCTTCTGCCTCGGCCGCGCTCGCCTGCCAAATTCCGGTTCCTTGCTCGCGAGCGCGTGGCTGCTGGCCAGGGTCGGGCGGTGGCCAGTGAGGCCGTCGGGTACAGCATCGGGAGCGGCGTCTGTCACACAGTCGGAGGCGGTGTTGGATGCGGCGTCGGATCCGGAGCGCCACGGCCAGTTGTTGGACGTCATTTCCAGGGGCGGACGGGGCCCTGCTTACGTCAGCAGCCCTGGGTGATGAGTCGGGTGCGGCGCCTGGGGCGGCGACGAATGTGGCGTTGGATGCAGCGATGGGCACGGCGCCGGGCAGCTCACTGGGAAGGCTGTCGGGTGGGCCGTCGCAAGGGCCTCCGTCAGGGAGGGCATCGGATGGGTGGCCAGGAGGCAGTCGGGTGCGGCGTTGGGAACGGCTTCGGCAGCGGCGCTGAATGCGGCGTCGGGCGCGGCGACGTCAAGTGCAGTGCGGCGTCTGGTTCAGCGACGGGCGCGGCGCTGGGCAGATCGCTGGGAAGGATGCCCAGTAGGCCGTCGGAAGGGTTTTCGGGAGAGCGGGCGGGGGGGGGGCCAGGGAGGCCGTCAAGTGCTGCGTCGGGGGCGGCGTTGGCAACGGAGTCGGGCTCGGCGTCGGGGGCGGCGTCGGAACGGCGTCGGGCGGGTCGCCAGCAGGCCCGGCGGAATTCGCCGTCGGGATGGCGGTCAGGTGGGGCGTCGGGTGAGGCGTCAGGCAAGGCGGGGGGCAGGGCGCCCGGCGCGTCATCGGGTGGGGGGTTGGGTAAGTCGCCTCGTAGGCCGTGGGGGGGGGGCCATCGGGGCGGGGATCGGGGAGGCTTCGCCTCCCGCGTCCGCCACAGATCGTCAGCTTCGCACGCGCTGATGCCGGAATTTTAGCTAGCTGATCGTCTCAGCCTCCAGCTTCGCCTCCCGCGTTTGCCAGAAGCGGCAGTCTCATGCGTGCTGACTCCAAAAATTGTAGCTGAATGTCTCCAACTCAAGATTCGCCTCCCGCATCTGCCAAAGATCGATGGCATCGCACAATGACGCAGGCGAGCCCCGTCTGTAAAGCAACGGCCAGAGATCGCAGGTCTCGCCCGTGCTGATGCCGACATTCTAGCCGATCGTCTCGGTCTCCAGCATCCCGGAATGCGGTCGGGGAGGCCGTCGGCGACGACGGTGTAAGTCGAGGGCAGAATAGACGCCCCTACCCTGGTTTACGAGGCGCTGTGCGCTGAAACTCCTGTGCGCTGACATGGTGAACCCTGCGTGATGTGCCGCGTCCTGGCGGCTCTAGGTTTTGGTGGTTCCCAGGAGGGTTGCAGACCGCGCACTTGTAACCCAGGGTAGGGCCGTTTTTTCATCCCTCAAGTAAGCGGCGTCGGCCACGGCGTCGGGGTCGGGGAGGTTTCGCATTCGACCGATGCCGCGAATCATCGGTTTCGCGCGAGGCAGTGCTGGAGTTGCAGCCGCGTGCCACTCCGAAGCCCTATAGCGGCAGCGCGCACGCAGCGTCGCCACACTCAGGGACCTGGAGGTGGAGGAGGAGGAGGAGGAGGGCGAGGAGAAGGAGGAGGAGGAGGAGGAGGAGGAATAAAGGGAGGAGAAATACAAGGAGGAAAGATAAGAGAAACTGACAACGCACAAGTTGCTGCAGCGCTTCCGCCCCCGGAACACGACGCCGAGACGTGGTTTATTTGCCCTGGGGGGCGCCCGCAGCCGCTCATAAAAAAGACCAATTGAAAATTGACACCGCGCACGCAGATTCACGGCGCCCGCGCAGAGGGGGGTGCGTGGAAGGAGAGGGGGAAGGAAAGGGAGAGAAGGAGAAGGGAGCACGAAAGTACACTTAAGTATTGCAGTGCGCCCGCCCTCGGCCTGGGGCGCCGATCCGTTGGGTCGCGCGCCGACGCGGCCGACCCGATGCCAAAACGCAGAACAGTGCCCCCGCCGAGTGCGCAAACATATGATAAGGGCGAGCGGGGCTCAGCCATGCAATCGCCGCGCGCGCGGAGAGATGGACAGGGGCGGTCCCTGGACAGGCCTCCGGCGCAGGCTGGGGCATCGTAACAACGCTCGCCGATGGGCGAAGAAAGCAGGGCCGCAGCGCTGCCAGGTCCGCGGGCAGCGAATGGAGAGCTGGCCCCAGGCGCCTCAGAGAGAGGAGGAGGAGGCGGTTGGAGAGGGGGGGCCGAGGAAGGAGGATTGCTCTGGCAGAGCGCTGCGCGACCCATCGCACCCCAGGCGGCCGCCGCCCAGGGCTCGGCAAGACGACGAGTCCGAGCGCCCATCTTCGCGACGCGCGCGGGGGGGGGGGCGGAGGAGGCAGGCGGAGGGGAGGCGGGCCGAAGGAGAAAGCGGGGGCGGAGGCCCGGGGCGGGCGCGCCCCCCCCCCCCCGCGCCGAGCGGCGCGCGTACTGTTGCGCTCCAGTGGAACCCCCGCGCACTGATGCGGACAAGAGGCGGCGCCTGATATTTGGCGCCCAGCCAGCCAGTCAGTCAAGCGAAAACGCCCATATCTGGTCGTCCTGCGAGAGGGAGGGGGGGTGGCGAGGAGATCGGGGGCGGAAAAGAGGGGGGTGATGACTAGGGGGGGGGGGTATCATGGCGGGGGCCATGATATTTCCCCAGATTTCACGGCGCCTCTTCTTACTTCATTGCGTCTCTGGCCCCCCCGCTGGGCCTCGCACATGCCGCCGGTCATGATTTGCGCCCCGCCCCTCTTGGGCGCCCCGTCTTGGCCGCTCCCGAGGAGACGGGGGGGGGAGACGCGCCGGCCGGCCGCCGTCTGCAACGGCGCGCCCTCCAGGCGCCAGGCCCGGAAGCCTCAGTCGGCCCAGACGGCGTCGAAGGACCGGGCGGCGCCTGCGTGTTCATCAGCTGCCTCTTCGACCGCGTGGCCCAGTGCCCGTCGTAACGTGTCCTCGTCGGAAATGGGCGGGCTGCGACGCATCCCGCGGCGCAGCTTCTGGGTGGCAGCGAGGAGAAGAGCTCGCCGAATGAAAGCTGCATCCGGTAGCTGGGGGGCCGCCCCCAGCAGGTAGCGAAGGTCGCCGGGGCGGCAAGCCAGATCCGCCGCTGCAAAGCCAGGCGCGGGCCACGTAGTGCCCCACAGCGTCTTCACCCACGGCGCGCCCGAAGATGCAGTGGCTGCGAGACTGGCAGCGACAGCGCCGCAGCGCTGACTCTTGGAGGCGCCAGCCGGCTCAGGCGCCGCAGCGCGGCCGCGGTGCGGGCCGCCCGCGGCCGAGGGGCCATGGGCAGGCGCCATCTTTCGAGCTTCGCACGCAGTCGCACTTTGGGATGGCCGCGCAGGGTGCGCGCCCACGCCGCCCGGGCGGCTCTCTGGGCGCCGCGGCGGGGGCGCCGAGCTTGCTCGCGATTGCGTGGGCGACGGGCGCGGGCGCCAAGATGCGCTTCGACCGCGTCGGCGGCGACGCCCGCTCGTCGGCGCGCGGCTATCGCAGCCGACGAGACGCGCGCGCATGAGCTCTGACATCCGCCCCGTGAAGAACAGGGCTAAGGTGGCGAGCAGCGTCGGCCTTTGACAAGCCGCCCGAGGCGCCTGCTTCTCGCCAGGCAACCCGCAAACGAGCGGCTAGCGAGACCTCCTGCATACAAGCGAGTTCCTGGGGCACGTGGCAGTGGGCAATGCCGCCGCAGCGCGCGAAGATCTGCGGGGATAATCCAGTTGGCTGGCTGGCTGGCGCTAATCGGCGAAGGGCTGCTGCTTCAGCGCGCCCCCATTCCTCTGGGGCGATCTCCAGCTGCAAGAGGAAGGCCAAGAGCGAGGCCACGTGCGCGTTGTGCGCAACGGCGGCGCTGTGCAGACCGAGCCCGAGCTGCGCCCATAGGTCTGCGCGGCGCGTGCACTGGCGCAGCGCCTCGCGCAAGACCCTCGCGCGCCCGCCGGGCCCCGGCGCGAGTCAGGGATGCTCCGCCCAGTCACGGGCGCAAGCGGCGCCCCAACCGCGGAACCGTTGCTCGAGATTGCGTCGGACATCCTCCTCCGCGGCGTCGCCGAGGGGGGCGAATGTTTTTTTTTGTCCGGGTTCAGAGACAGGTCAGAAACGACACCAAAGTCGGGCAATTGCGGCACAAAGCAACGCGTCGATCGGAAACGCCCCGCGAAACCGACCGCGCGCGCCCGCGGCATGTCGCGCGGCGGCGGGCCACGCGAGCGGCGCGGCAGCAGGTTGCCGCAGGGGGCGAAAAGCAAAAGGTTACAAGAAACATCTTTGGTGGACCCGGCTCGGACGCTGAAGCCCTCGCGCACCCCCCCGCTAACGGCGATCTTGCAACCGACGCCGAAGGGCAAATTGGACGCGAAAAGCCAGCGCGGCACCCGGGGCTCCTGGAACTTCGACGCATCTTCCGTGAAGTCGCGCGCCAGCGACGGGAACGCCGTCGCGAGGTCGAAGAGAACCGCGCCACGCTGCTCGGCCAGCAGGCATGCCGCCCCCATGTCGCTGTCAACCTCGACGACGTTTTGCAGCGTGGACCTGCCAGGCAAAAGTGCCCCGTCAAGCCGGCGCGATGGTCTCCGCGAGCAGCGGCTCCACCCGGAAAAGCATTAGCCATCGATCTGTTGTCTGCGTTTACCGAGGACAGCGGGCGGACCTCTCCAGAAAGATGGTGGCGGATGCCGTCGGCCTCGTGCGCCGTCGTTTCGGGGGGGGGGGCTGCGCTGGCAGGGTTGAGCGCCGCGTCGCCGCAGGCATCCAACGGGGGCGCCTCCAGCAGGGAGTCGCGGCCATGCCCCCCGCCGAGCTCGACTGTCGCATTGCGCCGCGTGTCGACGGCAAGGGCCCCAGACGCCGCCGCGCCAGTTGCGGCGCCCAATGTGGACCAGGCGCAGAAGAGGCCGTCGACGAAACTGCCCGTCGAATGCCTCGTCGGCGGAGCTGCCGGGCAGACGCGCCGCTGAGCATCTGTCGAGCAGCAGCAGCGCGAAGGCCAGATGCGCGACCTGCGTTCTCGCGGAACCACTCCTGCCAGCGACGGCTACCCAAAGCACGAGTGGCACATGCATCCTTCGCGCGCGCCATGAGGGCGGGGGCCGTGCGGGGGCCGTCTGCGCGGAGGTCGCCGCCCGGGCCTGCCGCCGGCGAAGGTGACGTCGATGTCCTGGGAGCAGTGCGCGCGAGCTGCAGCGACATCTGGGGCCGAGGCTGTTGCGCGACATTGTCGGAACAAATGGCGCCTCTTCGCGATGGCGTTGCAGGGGGGCTTGAACCTCCGCCCTCGCAGTTGCCAAGCGTAACCCCAGAGGCGAGCCGGACGCTTATGAAGAGCATGCTGAAGACGGTCATGTCCTGACAGAGCGCGAAGCACAAGGAACCGGCCACGAAGCGCGGGAACGTCTGCAAGTCCCATCCGTTCAAGACGACGGAGGACAGCCATTGTGATGCCCCATGGTGTTGCCGCCTCGCCCCCCGCAGCCCCTTCCTCGAGGGGCCGGGCCGATGCTGTCCGCGCTGCCGCCTTGAGACGACGCGGGGCGGATTCTAGAGTGGCGGCCAATCGTGTCGGGCTCCAGCTTCGCCCCCAACATCTGCCGGGGATCCTTGGCGTCAAACGTGCTGACTCAGGATGTGTAGCTGGTCGTTCCGGGCTCCAGCTTCGCCTCCTGCGTCTGCCAGCAATCGCCGCTATCGCGCGTGCTTGTTTCAGGATAGTAGCGGGTCGTCTCGGGCTCCACCTTCGCCTCGTATTACATCTGCCAGAAATCGTCGGTTTCGCACAAGCTTCGCCTCTCGCATAGATCCCCAGCACCGCGCGTGCTGATTCTGGAATTGTGGCTGGTCGTCGCGGGCTCCAGCGCCGCCTCCCGATTCTGTCGCAGTTAGTCGGCTTCGCGCTCGGTGACTCTTGAATTGTAGCTGATCGTCTCGGGGTCCAGCTCCGTCTCCTGCGGCTAGCGGCGCCGAGCGCCACGGCGGCCGCAGCCCAGGCAGCCGCGGCAACCGCGGCGGCGGCTGCATCCCCCTGCGGCTGCGTCCCCCTTCGCAGCGGCCGCCCCCGTCGCGGCGCGCCCCCGTCGCGGCGCGCGCGGCGGCCGCTGCGGCAGCAGCCGCGGCGTCCGCAGCAGCCCGCCCGAAAACCGGCACCGCGGCGCCCGCGTCGCTGGCGGCGCCCGCGGCGGTCGCGACGGCCGCGCCCGGCGCTCGCGCGGCCCCAGCCGCGCCCGCGACGCCCGCGATGCTGGTGATGTTGGCAACGCCCGCGGCGCCCACGGCGCTGGCGGAACACGCGGCGCCGCGCGCGTCGACGACTCCTGCGGCGCCGGCGACGCCCGCGGCGCGTGCGGCCCGGGGGCCCAGCGGCGAGGATGGCCCGCGCGGCAGCGCGCTGCCGCTACCGCCGCCGCCTGCCGAAGGTGTCCCCACGGCGCCGGCGAGAAGGGCGCCGAGAGGAGGACGCCCCTTCCAGCGCCCCTCAGGTCGGCCGAAACTGGCCGACATCCAGGGCTGACTCCGGCCCCCAGGGCGCGCCAGCCAGCCTCGAGCCAGAGGGGCGGCCTGAGCTAAAAGACTACGTACGCACGCGCAAACTGAGTTTTGGGCGTCGCGTCCACGCGCGCGGGGCAGCGCGGCGTGGTGCGTCGAGCGAGGAGGCGCGCGCGGCCGGCCCGGCGTGGGGGCGCTGGATCCGCCCATCGGGGATCAGCAGTGCCACTCGCTGGGTGGGGGGGGGCAATGCGACGGGAAGACGCAGAGAAACAGCGAGCAGGCGGGGAAACGGGAACAGAGCAGCGCAGCACAAGCGCAACGGCGAGGCGCAGGAACGGCCGCAAAGGCGGGCCGCGAGGGGGCGAGGAAGTAGACAGACGAGGCCCTGGGTGAAGGCAAGCGCCAGGATGAGACACCGACGGCGGCAGGCTGCAACGGGGAGGCTGTGCCGCGCGGAGCGGACGGGCAGGCGGGCAGAGGCGCAAACGAACGCCAGAGGAAAGGGGGGGGCACGGGCAGCCGACTGAGCAGCTCGCTCGCACCGTGGCGCTGGCTGCGAGGCAGGGGGCCGACCGAGGGCAGCCAAGTGCAGAGAGGGCCCAGAGCAGAAGGCGTGGGAGGAGCCAGTCACGGAGGGCGCGGCGGAGGAGGGCCGCACCGCCCGGTGGCCAGGCCGCGATGAAACATTGGCCTCGGCACTGGCGCTTGCAGGCAGGGTGCCAGCGTGTGCCGCGCCCGAGGAAGTGACCGCGGCCCCATGGAAAAAGGACAGCAGGCGATCTTCCAAATGTACATGCGCACGCACTTTCGAGCAGCCGCGGGCAGGCAACTCGCCGTGCCGTCAACCCGCGCACGCTGGGCGCGCGCGGGCAATCAGGCGGCCCCTGATGGGGCGGTGGCAGAGCAGCAGCCTGGCCCGCGGGAACAGGGGCGGCGGGCGGAGCAACGAAGATCGGCTGGCGGCAGCCTGGGCGGCAGACAAGGAACTCGCACGCGTGGCGCGACGGCCCGCCCGACTGCCTTCCCGACGCAGCACTTGGCGGCCTCCCTGCCCACGTTCCCGACCCCATGCCCGACGGCCCTCCCGACGGCCTAACACGACTGCCTTCCCTGCGACCTGGCCGGCGCCGCACCGGCCGCCGACCGTGCCAGACGTCGCACCCGGCGCCGCAGCCAGGGCGGTTGACGCAAGCAAGGCCCCCGTCTCTGCACTTGGCGTCCGAAAACTGTTTGTGGCAAGCCGTATCCGATGCCGCATCCGACTCCGTGACGCGCCGTTCCCGACGCCGTGCCTCACGGCCTTCCTGGCCGCCCCCCCGACCCCTCCCCGCCGGCCCTCCAGACGGCCCGCCCAGCAGCCTTCTCGACGCAGTAGCTGGCGGCCTCCCCGGCCACCCTCCTGACCCCCTTCCCGACAGAACCCTTCGGGCGCCCCGCCCGACGGACGCCCCGGCGACTTGCCCAGCGCCGCGCCCGGCGCCGCGCCCGTCGCGGGACCAGCTGGCGCACCCGACGCCGCATCCGAGGCTGTTGACGAAAGTAAGCCCTCGTCCCTGGACATGATGTCCAGCGACCGTTTGCGGCAAGATACACGCCAGTCGTTGAAAGCAGGTATTTCTGGATTCCCAGATCCCGGTCTTATGTTAGCCGCTTTCCTGCTCCAAGAGCCGAGCGGTCTTTCCTCTCCCCTCCTCTTCAGGGGGGCGCGCGGAAGCCCAGTCTACTTCCAACGCCTTCCTACTTCATGCTCCTGCCCACTTCTTCTGACCGGCGGATCTATCCGACGCCGCGTCCGACGTCGCCGCCGACTCCGCGACGAACGTCGTGCCTGACGCCGTGCCCCATGGCCTCCCTGGTCGCCCCCGCGACACTCCCCTCCCCGTCGCCTTCCCCCGACGGGCCGCCCGGCAACCTCCCGACGCAGCGCTCGACGACGACGACGCCGACGACGACGACGACGACGCCGACGACGACGACGACGACGCCGACGACGCCGACGACGACGACGACGCCGACGACGACGACGACGCCACCCTCCCAACCCCTTTCTGACGGAAGATGACGGAAGCCATCCAGACGGCCCGCCCGACAGACGTTTTGGCGCCGTGCCCGTATCCGACGCTGGACTCGACGCCGCATGCGACGCCGCTGCCGATTCCGCAACAGGACTTGCCCCGGGTGTCCCCCGGGTGTCCCGGGTGTCCCCCAAGACCCCACCGGGAGCCCCTCCAGGACACCCCCCCGGCGGGAGAGGGATCAAAGGGATCAAAGGAAGGGGGCTTCCTTTTGACTCAACTACCATTCTGCTGCTTAATTTCGCTTTGGCTGTCGCGCTTGAGGAGGATGGCCCAGAGAAAGGGGGTGGGAGCGTCGACGGCGGCGGCGGCGGCGGCGGCGACGACGACGACGACGAACGGAAGAGCATCTTCCACGCGCCGACAGGGTCGGCGGATTTGCCGTTCTCGTTCTGCCTTCCGTTGCCCGCTGTGCGTCGTCGTTATCGTCGTCGGGCGACGACGATGACGTCGACAACGATGACGGACTTCGCTCGCGAGCCTTGTGTCCGTCTCGTCCCGCCTCGCGGTGCGTGCTCTTCCTCGTCGTCGTCGTAATTGTCGTCGTCGTCGTCGTCGTCGTCGTCGTCGTCGTCGTCGTTGTCGTCGTCGTCGTCTTCATTGTTGTCGTCGTGGTCGTTATCTTCGTTGTCGTCGTCGTGATCGTCGTCGGACGTCGACAACGACGACGAGCATCGCAAGCGGGCTTCATGCCCCGGACGTCTGCTCTTCTGCGTGCCGGCGCTGTCGCCCCCAGGCCGACCCAGTGCTCGTCCCGAAGAGCCCGCGCATGGCCAAGCTGCGGCCAGGACCGTGTCGCGCCAGCCACGCGGCCCTCGTCGTCGTCGTCGTCGTCGTCGTCGTTGTCGTCTTCGTCATCGTCGTCGTGGTCGTCGTTGTCGTCGTCGTCGTCGTCCAGGGGAAGGGGGGATAGGGGGAGGGTGAGCTACAGAAGGATGAAGTTGGAAGAGGAGGAGGATGAGGAGGAGGAGGAGGAGGGAGAAGATGAGGAGGAGGGGGAGGGAGAGGAGGAGGAGGAGGAGCAGGAGGAGGAGGAGGAGGTGGAGGAGGAGGAGAAGGAGGAGGAGGACGAGGAGGAGGAGAGGCCGCGGCATTGTGGCGGCCCTCGTTGTTTTGAGTGGTTTTGCAGTGTTTTCGTGATTTGCTCGTTTTCTTTATCGTTACATTCTTCTTTTCTTCTTCTCCATCTCTCTCTCTCTCTCTTTCTCTCTCTCTCTCACTCTTGGCCAGCCTTTTCACACAAAAAATGCCCACCCGAGCATGGTCCTCGGGACTCCAGCCCAGTGCCAAGCGGCATGGGGCTGGAATTTCGCCAGAGGAGTTTTTACGAGTTTTCAGCCTTGTCTTCATATAATCCCTCTGTTTCCTCGCTCGCTGTCACCCTTTGCCTCTCTCTCACATGCACGTGATATGCATTTCCTTCCTTAAGCATCACAAACGAATCCCTCTGGAAAGCGAAGCACAGATATTCTATGTCCGTGCAACAGGAATCCGCCGGTATTCATTATCAAGGAATTCTATTGGAAAGCTTCATAATCGGAGCCGTTTGGAAAGCACTGCTGTGGGCTTCTATAAGGACTCACCACAAGAGGAAACCTTCGGACAACACAAAATATTTGATTGGACAGCCTCGGGCTTGGAACAGAGTGCGAAATTCTACACAGGAGTTCCATTGTATGGTCTCACAACATGGGTAATCTGGAAAGCGCTGCCTAGCAAAATGCATGTGTTAGAAACAATCAGAATTGGAGTCCTTTGGAAAGCGCCCCAGAAGGATTCTGTGGGAACAAACAACTGGAACCCTTTGGCAAGACATGTAACAGGTTTATCGGACGGTCTTGCAATAGAGATCCTGTGAACAGCGCAACACAATGGATTCGACCGGAGCACCTGGCAACAGGAATATTTTGGAAAACGCCACACTGTTTGTTTGGGAAAGCCTCGCACCAGAAATCCTTTGAAAAGCAGCACGAAGGACTTCTTTTGGAAAACAACACAAGAGGAATCCTCTGGGAAACGCTACGACGGGCTCCTTCTGGAAAGTACCACAAAGGGGACCCTTTGGAAAGCACCACACAGGGATTCTACTGAAATGGACAGCGCCACTAAGTGGTTCCTATTGGGAAGCCGCGCAACAAGGAGCCCATCGGAAAGCACCACAGAGGGATTCCTGGGAAAAATGCTCACACCAGAAAGCTTTTCTGGAAGCACAATTGAGGACTCTTGTTGAGAAGCCGGCCATAAAAAAAGGAATCCATCGGAAAGCATCACAGAGGGATCCAATTGTGAAACCTCACAACAGGAACCTTTTGGATAGCGCCGCGGAGGGTTTCTATGGGAAAGCCTTGCGGCAGGACTCCTCTGGAAAGCACCACGCAGAGATTGTAGTGGAACGCCTAGCAACGAGGATCCGTTGGACAGCACCACGACCAGATTTTACGGGAAATCCTCGCCGTGGAAGACCTTTGGAACGCGCCGCAAACGGGTTCTATCGGAAAACGTCATCACATGAATCCTTTGGAAGGCACCACAAGGGGATCCCACAGGGAAGCATCACAACAGGAATCCGTTGGAGAACATCACGCAGCGATTCTATTGGAAAGCTTCGCGATCGGAATCCACTGGGAAGCACTACGAAAAGACTATTGAGGAACCTCACAACAAGAATCAATTGGAGCACCACAGCGGCATTCTATGGGAAACAGTCACAGTGGGAATCCTTTGGAAACGCAGACGGGATTCTATAGGAAATCCTCACAGCAGCAACCCTTTGGAAAGCGCCACAAAGGGAATTCGATTGGAAGGCCTCTCAACAGGAATCCATGGGAAAAGGGATTCGATGGGAAATCTGCACGAAAGGTAATTCATTGGACAGCACCACCACGGATTTTTCTCCCACCCCCCTCCCATTTTTTTTAAATGCCCATTCTTGTAGCTTTTTTTTGGGGGGGGGGGGGCAGAGAGAAAAACGTAAAAACCGTCGCAGTGGGAACCTTTTGGAAACACCACAAAGGGGATTCGATGGAAAATCCTACAACAGGAATTGAGAAGGTGGAGGAGGAGCAGGAGGAGGAGAAGGAGGAGGAGGAGGAGGAGGAGGAGGAGGAGAAGAATGAGGAGGAGGGCGAGGAGGAGGAGGAGGAGAAGGAATGACGGGGGAGAGGTCAGTGCAGGAAAATGGTGAGAAACAGGCTGATGATGATGAGGAGGACTGTGGGAGGAAGATGGGGGGTGGGGAGGAGGCGGGGGAGGAGGGGAATGAGGAGGAGGAGGAGGAGGAGAAGGAGGAGAAGGAGGAGGATGAGAAGGAGGAGGAGGAGGATGTGGCTGTGGAGGTGGTGGAGGAAGAGGATAAGGATGGGAAGGGGGGAAGGAGGAGGATGAGGAGGAACAGTAGGAGGAGGATGAGGAGGAGGAGGAGGAAGAGGATGAAGGGGGGAAGTGGCGAGGGATGGAGCAGGAGGAGCAGGAGGATGCGGAGGAGGTGGAAGAGGAGGAGGAGGAGGAGGTTGAGAACGAGGAGGCGGAGGAGGGGGAGGACCAGAATAAAGCCCAGATGCAGTAACGATGCTGCAATGCACAAACCTTCCCGTCCCAAGGTATCCCCTCGGAAGTCCTGACAAGCCTTCGTCTGCACTGCAAGATGCGCTCCTTGCTATACCAGCGTCCCGTGGACCTGCCAATCAGGCGAGAGTCCCGTATTGAAGAGGACTAGTCTCGCATCCTTTCAGGGAGTAGCCAGGAATATGAGAAGGCTATACAGTTCAACGAGGTGTCCACCGAGCTTCCCGTTCTGAAAAATGACCGCCCCCGTCCGAGCAGCTGTTGCGCAGGTTTACAGCCGTGGAGCCATGGCCTTCGAGGAAGTCTCGAGCGAGGGCCCCACTTTGAGGAGGGTTCGCGCTCCGGCCGTGCAGCCTTCTATCTATGCTTACGCTTCGGGTATTGAGCCCAACGGGTATTCTTACACTTCGGGTATTATTGCACGTCGGGTATTCAAGCTGAACGACGTCTCGCGCGAACGCCCAATTGTGAAAAGGGCACGTCCTCCACCCATGTAACTGTGGCAAGCTTTTAGAGGGCATGTGCTCGGGACTGAGGCGAGAGCCCCATTTCGAAGCCGAACCTCTCCATCCCTGAAGCTGCTGCAAACTCTGAAGACGCATGTGCGCAGAGCATGGGCGAGAGCTGCATTTTGAAAACGGTATGTGCTCCATCTTTGAAGCGGCTGAAGCGTTTCTGAGGCACATGTGCGGGGCGCTGATGCGAAAGCCGCATCGTGAAAACGACTTGTGCTCCATCCGTCAAACTGTTGAAACTGTCAAGCTTCAGAGCCACAAGTTGTGAGGAAGTCTCAGGCGAAACGCCCTACCCCTCTACCGACACGCTTGGGAGTGCGACAGGGATGAGTTATGTATCCAGCTGCCTACGTGCCTGGGTTGTGGGTTATAAACCTGGTGGTCGTTCGTTGGAATCTCGTGGGAGGGTTCTCGAGGGTTTTTTAGAGGCAGTTTTGAGGCCTCTTGGGGGCCGTTTTGGGGCCTCTTGGGGGCATCTCGGGGGCCTTTTGGGACCTCGCGGGCGCCTCTTGGGGCCCCCTGGGTGCCCCTTGGGCCGGAATGCTCTGATTTTCGGTTCGTGCTCCCTCTCTGGGCCCCCTCTTGGGGTCGTCTCGGGCCCCTCTTGGGCCGTCTTGGGCGCCTCTGGAAGGCCTCTTGGGATGTTTTGGGGTGGCCTTGGGGGCCTCTTGGACCATCTTGGAGCATCAGAAAGCCGAAAAGGCGAGAGCGCCCAAATCCTTCAAACAAGCACGGACAATCAATGATTTTTGCCTTTGGGGGCCCTCTTGGGAGGCCTCTTGGAGGCCTCTTGGGGCGCCTTGGAAGCCTCTTGCGCCATCTTGACGCCATCTTGGGCGTCTTCGAGCCATCGTCTGGTCACTCGGGGCCCTCTTGGACCGTCGTGGAGGCCTTTGAGCCGTCATGGAATCCTTGGAGAGCCTCAGGGAGGCGCCATGGCCGCCCAGGGACCCCCTGGGAGTATGGCCGGGGCGCGCGGCGAGGTGCGGCGGGGAGAAGGTGGGTCCCCTCAGAAGATCGCAAGAGCCCTACCAGGCAGCACTCGGCATTCTAGCACGCCTCAACGTGCCAGGGGGCACGGTGGCGGATATGGAAACGGGAGGAGGAGGAGGAGGAGGAGGAGAAGGAGGAGGAGGAGGAGGAGGAGGAGGAGGATGAGGAGGAGGAGGAGGAAGAGGAGGAGGAGGAGGAGGAGGAGGAGGAGGAGGAGGAGGAGGAGGCGGAGAGGATGACGAGGACGAGGACGAGGACGAGGGGGAGGGGGAGGAGGACGATGGCGACGACGGGCTGGCGGCCAGGGCAGCCCGTGGCGGTGCTGCCCTCGGCGTTGCCCGACGCCTGCGGCTTCGCGGCGCTGGTCGCCAGCCCCCCTGTGAAGCTGGACCCCGTCGAGGCGCGCGCGGGTACGTACATCAGGGCGCCTCCTGCCCATCTCCTCGTTCTCCTCTTCCTTCAGACTGCCGCCCGCCAGCTTTCCGCTGCCGCCTCATCCTCGTTCGATCGTGGGTCGTGCTCCCCTGGCCTGGCCGTGCAGGGTCCACGTCGATCCAATCGATCCGATTCGGTGTCGCTTCTGGCAGGCCCGGCGTGGTTCGACTCCGATATGCCGACGATCCGATGCGGCCCGATGTTCGCATGGCGCTGTGGTGCATCTGGCTCGGCCGATCCGGTTCGATTCCGAGTCCGTGCGGATGCCTCCGGAACCAATATACGTACCGATCCGATCCGATTTATCATTTCGTCAATGGCTGATCTTGCTGTGATCCTCTGATGGGTTGGGATGCGCTTACTGCTGTCGGAATGGATCGCTGCCCTGCTGCCTCTCTTGTGCCTGCCTTAACGTGGTAGGAATTATTCGTAAGGAACAGGATGGATGAGGACGAGGAGGATGAGGAGGAGGAAGAGGAGGAGAAGGAGGAGATAGGAGGAGAAGGAGGAGGAGGAGGAGGAAGAGGAGGAGGAGATAGAGGTGGAGGAAGAGGAGGAGGAGGAGGAGGAAGAGGAGGAGAAGGAGGATGAGGAGGAGGAGATAGAGGTGGAGGCCAAGCTGCCCCCCGAAGGACGGCCGTCTCGCTCACTCCCACCCGCCCTCCCATCGCACAAGTAGCCCCCGAGTCTCAGCGTGGGCAGGGGCGGTCATCGACGATCCTCGGGAAGCACCGCAGACGCCAGCCAGGTGCGTGACGCCAGCCAGGTGCGTGACGCCAGCCAGATGGCGCGACGCCCGCGAGGTGCGCCGCGCGTGCCTGGGCGCGCCCTTCATCCCTGGCAGACAGCAGTGCAAAGTGATCGCGGGGCCTGCGCGCACCCGGCAATGTGCTGGCACCCGCCCCGCCCCTGACAAAACACACTGCAGAGTGATCGCTCGGTGCCCATGCATGGTCCGGATCTTGCCGTACCATACACTCTGCACGGCCTGTTGTCATAACAGGGATGGTGGGGGGAGGTATCGTCATGGTTCTGGGCTTCGCCCCTGTCACGCGGGAGAGGGGGTGTACATATTATTGAGGAACAGTGAAGGAGGAAGAGGATGAGGAGGAGGAGGAGGAGGAGGATGAGGAGGAGGAGGAGGAGGAGGAGGAGGGGTTGGAGGAGGAGGAGGAGGAGGAGAAGGAGGATGAAGGAGGAGGAGGAGGAAGGAGGGTGGATGGTGATGTAGGACGGAAGAGTGCGATGGAGTAGGATGGAGGATGGAGGAGGGGGTGGCGGAGGAAGAGGAGGAGGCCGAGGACGAGGATGGAGGACGGGAAGACGATGACGACTGTGACCTCTGGGCTTGCGGGCCCGCGGGGCAGGGGAGCGCCCTGCCCGGCTTCGGAGACGTCCTCCGCCAGATGAGCCGATGGAGGCGCGCGGTTGCCGCCTGCTGCACTGCCCGCTCCCGCAGACAGCGGGCCCCCTGACTCCGAGGAGGGCGAGGAGGAGGAGGAGGACCGGTGTAAACCCAAGAGTCATCAACGATGCTGGAATAAACCCTCCCTTCCGAGCTCCCTCTTCATAGGCCCCTACAACGGTTCCTTTCCACTGAGGGGGCTGCCTCGTTGGAGGGCACCCGTTTGAAGACCCTGAAGCACGACAAAACATTGTTCTCGGGATTCCAACGCCACGGATCAACCTGACTGTTGCGTCTTGACGATCATGAATCGTGCCAGAACGCCATGCCCGGCGAATCAACGTAACTGTTGCGCCCTCATAATCCTGAGTCTTTCCAAAACGCTATTTCGGGTACGTTGATCGCAGGAACCCGTGAAACTCTTGCAACTTTACAAGCCGAATGTGCGCGTCGCTAAGGCGAGAGCCACATTTTGAAAAGGAACCGCCCTCAAGCAGTAAAATACTTGCAAATGTTTGGAACGAATGCACGCGGTGTTAAGGCAAGATCCACATTTTGAAAACGACCCGCCCTCAATCTGTGAAGATCTTGCACATGCTTTAAACGAATGTGCGCGGCGCTAAGGCGAGAGCCACATTTTGAAAAGGAACCGTCCTCAATCCGTGAGATTTTTGCACATGTTTGAAACGAATGGTCGCGGCGCTAAGGCGAGAGCCACATTTTGAAAACGGCCCGCCCTCAATCCGTGAAGCTCGTGCCAGTGTTTAAAAACGAATAACAACGAATGTGCGTGGCGCTAAAGCGAGAGCCACAATTTGAAAACGACCCGCCCTCCATTGGTGAAATTGTTGCCGATGTTTAAGCTTCAGGGTCATGACTGGTGAGGAAGTCTCAGGCGAAACGATTGGCCCGCCCTAAAATTTGGCCTCTGGGTGCGACAGGGAGAAGTTATTGAATCGCTTCGCTTATTCCGCCGGCCCGTATCGTTTCATCGCTGGCGTTTCGCTGCGCTGCTGGAGCGTTGCTTTTTGGGCAGGTTCTCGACGCTTGTTTGAAGTCTGTGGGGGGCCGTTTGCGGCATGCTTGAAAGTTTCTGGAGCGTCTTGGAACATTGTCGCTCAACGTATGTTGCAAGTCTGTGGAGGATTTGTCGTGGCAAGATGGAACGCTCCTGGAGCGTCATGGGATTTGTTTCGAACGGCGGAAAGAGGAGAAGCAGGTGAGGAGAGGACAAGGGTGAGGCTGAAAGGGGTGTTGTCTGGCTTCCTGGAGCATTGCTTGAGGGCGCCCGTAGTGTTACAAAGACCTCGTTTCTTATAAGCAGGCGCCACGTGTGAAACCAGTATTAGGGCAGTGAAGACAATTACTCCGACGGTAGGACCCCACATGAGAATCTGTCTAGCTTCCCCTTAGCCCTTCCCTCCTCCCTCTGGCGGACACTCTCCATTCGCCTTCTGCTCTTCCATCTCCTCCTCCTTCTATTTATCATCACCCTTCCCCTCTTCCTCCTCCTCCTCCTCCTCCACCTCCTCTTCATCATCACCCTCTCCACATACCCCTTCCCTCCTCATCCTCCGCCTGCCTCTTCTCCATGTGCACCTCCCCGCCCCCCTGGTCGGGGCAAGCAAATCGATGTTCCTCGGCGCCCTCGCCGCCACGGCAATCAGGCGCGCGTTTGCCGACGGCTAGATCGCGAAGCCGTTGGGACAACCCCGCGAGCCGCTGGGGCGCGAGAGCAAGCCGTTGGGACAACCCCGCAGGCACCTCGCAATTCACTCACAGACGAGGCTCCCGCTCGATACTTCCTTCATATCCGAGCCTGAAGAGCCCAAAAGTGACGACAGTTACACGTTGCGGATGACCCGCTCGGATTAGTACAATGATCTGCGGGTCCCATAAGGAGGGGGCTCCCGCCTGAGATGTCCTCGCAATTTAGTCGCAGACGAGGCTCCCGCTCGATACTCTTCTTCGTATCCAAGCCTGAAACGCCCAAAAGTGACGACAGTTACACGTTGCGGATGACCCGCTCGGATTAGTAACATGATCTGCGGGCCTCATAAGGAGGGGGCTCCCGCCTGAGACTTCCTTGCAATTCACTCACGAACGAGGCTCCCGTTCGATACTTCCTCCATATTCAAGCCAGAGGAGCCCAAACATGACGACAGTTACACGTTGCGGATGACCCGCTCGAATTCGTAACTTGATCTGCGGGCCCCATAAGGAGGAGCTCCCGCCTAAGACTTCCTCGCAATTCACTCACAGACGAGGCCCTCGCTCGATAGTTCCTCCATATTCAAGCCCGAGGAACCCAAAATTGACGACAGTTAGACGTTGCGGATGACCCGCTCGGATTAGTAACATGATCTACGGGCCCCATAGGTAGGGGGCTCCCGCCTGAGACTACCTCGCAATTCACTCACAGACGAGGCTCCCGCCTGAGACTTCTTTGGAATTCGCTCACAGACGAGTGAGTGATGACGAAGTGATGAGTGAGTGAGTGGGTGACGAAGGGGATTATGCTGATGATGATAATGAGTGATGATGATGCTGATGGTGATGATGATGGTCGGCGATCGCATGACGATGACGTTGGTGATGATGATAATGATGATGATGATGTTGATGATGATGATGATGATGATGATGATGATGATGAGTGGGTGATGATGTAGGTGTGTTCTGGTTCTGGTTCCTGCGCGGGGTGTCCAGAGAAAACAATAACCCCACTTTGGATGTGGGGAATAATAGGTCACGAAAGACATTCATATGCCACTAATTGAAGACACTCACCTGTCAGTAAGCCACTATCATATCATCGCTTTCGTCGTCATCATGATCATCATCACCATCGCAACCATATGACATATGATCATGAGGCTGATGATGGGCCCCATCGGGAGCTACTTAGGAGATTTCGGCTCCAAGGCCCCGGTGGGTGCGTTCGCATACAGCATAGAAGGCATCAGTCATAAATGCCCCCCGCTCATTCCAGCACATCCCTCGCAAGTTTCGCGCCCTGGGGAGCTCCAGTGGGGCCTCCATTTCCTTCCTCCCCCCGTCCGTGGCCATTTTGAGGAAGAGGAGGGGGAGGAGGAGGGGGAAGAAGAATTTGATGATGAGGAGGACGAAGATGAGGATGAGGGATGAGGCGGAGGAGGATGAGGGATGAGGATGAGGATGGCGGAGACCCAATGACGAGGCGACGCACGGAGACGAGAGCCAAACTCGAGGCCAGCGACCCGAGTCGAAATGGTCCGTGATGGGGTCATGTGCCGACGGGCCGCCGACGAGCCGCGGAAGGGGCCTCCTGGGGCCTCCTGGTGCCTCCTGGACTTTTCAGGGCCTCGTGGGCAACAAGATGGACCTCTTGGGGCCTCCTCGGGCCTCTTGAGGGTCTCCTGAAGCCTCCTGCGGCCTCTTGGGGCCTCCTCGGGTCTCCTGAGGGCCTCGTGGAGCCTCCTGGGACCTCTTGGGTCTCCCAGTGCCTTCGCAGGGAGGCTCCCGGGGCCTCCTGTTGCCTCCTGTTGCCTCTTGGGACCTCCTGAGGGTCTCCTGAACCCCCCTGGAGCCTCTTGGGGCCCATTCCGGTTTCCTGAGGGCCTCGTGGAGCCTCCTGGGACCTCTCGGGGCCGCCTCGAGCCTCCTGAGGGCCTCATGTTGCCTCTTGAAACCTCCTGGGACCTCTTGGGCCTCCTCAGGCCTCCTGAGGGCCTCCTGAGGGCCTCCTGAGGGCCTCCTGAGGGCCTCCTGAGGTCCTCCTGGGGCCTCCTGAGGGCCTCATGGGCTTCTGGGGCCTTCTCTGACTTTTAGGGCCTTCTGAAGGCCTCCCGGGGCCTCTTGGACCTCTTGGAACTGCCTGGAGCCTCCTGGAGTTTCCTGGAACTCTCGAAGACACTGCCGAGGCTGCCCTGGTAGCAAGCGCCACGTGTCACGCGGCGATGGCCTCCACGAGCGGCACAGGCTTCGCGGCGTCGTCGGCGTCGATCATCATCTCAAGCTCGGATTCCAGGCAAGTGTCGACCACCTCCCCCGAGGGGGGCAGAAGACGTTAGTCAAAAGAGTGCTGGGCGAGGGTGGGAGCAGCTCGGGATGCTCTCCTGCAGCTGCGACGCGCCGAGGGGTCTCTGGGGGCGCCCGGGTCGCCCTGGACGGCCGTCAGAGGCCCGAGGGGGTTTCAGGTCCCGCCCCCCTCGGGTCAGAATCGGAGCTGGTCCCTCTACGTCTACAGGAGGAGTATTCCCAAATTCTCCAAAAAATTAGTCGGGGGACCATTTTTTATTTTTTTTTGTTGACCATTTTGGAGTTTTTTTGGGGGTATTTTAATTTTTTCGTCGAAAATCCCCCTGGTAGGGGGACAGGCCCGACTGAACCCTGGGGTTAGAATCGGAGCCTGAGATGATGATCGGCGCCGAGGCCGCCGTGGAGCCTGCGCCGCTCGTGGAGGCCGTCGCCGCGCGGCACCGGGCGCTCGGGGCTGCGTCCCAGGGGGCCGTGCTGCCAGGGCAGCCTCGGCAGTGTCCTCGAGCTCACCCAGGAAGCTCCAGGAGGCCTCTGGGAGGCGCTCGGGAGGCCCTGGAAGGCCCGAGGGGGGCCCCGGGAGGTTCCAGGGTGCCCCAGGAGGCCTTCGGCCGAGGAAGGCCCAGGAGGTCCTGGAGGCTGCAGGGCTTCGGGAGGCCCTCGGGAGGCCCGAGGAGGCCCCAAGAGGCCCCAGGAGGCCCCTGAGAGGTCCAGGAGGCACTGGGAGGCCCCAGGAGACCCCTTCCGCGGCTCGTCGGCGGCCCGTCGGCCCGTGACCCCCTATCGCGGACCATTTTGCCGCCGGTGGCCCGTAAATCAGGTCGCTCGCTTCGAGCTCGGCTCTCTGTCGCCGTGCGTCGCCTCATCATTCGGTCTGCATCATTCTCACCCCCATCGTTCATCCTCATCCCTCATCGTCTCATCGTCATCCTTATCCTCTTCATTATCCTATCCCTCCCGGTTCTCCTGATCAGCCTTTCCATTCTCCTCCTCATCCC